AGTAATTTACACTGAGAGCTTGGTGCAAATCAATGGGGTTATGAGCTAGAGTCCTACTCACTGGGAGTAACACAGCTGAAAGCTGGACCCTGTACTGAACTCTTGCTCTGCTTTTGAAATGGTGAAGAGAAGATTGGAGGCTCCCACCTAAGGGCGGGTAGAAAAAATATGTAATATTTTGCAACACAACGTTTGACACATTTTACTGCTGAAATGTTTACTATTACTTGTAATTCCATCAGAGAACCTCAGAGGAATAAATGTATGTAGAAATTCATAGAAATTCCTTTATTAATATAATGAAAAGTTTAGTTCTGATATTTTTTATTGATATATTCAAGTTTGATAATACCAGGTTGGGGCTTTTTTCTCCTTTTTTTTTTTTTTTTTTTTTTTTTTTTTTTTTTTTTTTTTTTTTTCTCTTTCAAAAGACACCTTACTGTTGTTTTAAAAAGTGATCTCAATTTCAATAGGCATTTATCACTATAGAGAAGATAAACATTCCCATCAAGTGTAACACTGGATTGAACTCCATATTCTCTGCTTTGCTTTTTCACTAATAAGAAATCTGGGAGATTTTTGTAGCCTGAATTTACATTCTATATATTTTTATTATTTGTCCAGTGAATCAAAAAAAAGAAACAGAACTCCACAATGACTACTCTGTCTTCGTGATTTTAAGGATGATATTTTGCTTATATGGGATGTTCTATTTTAGACTGAGATGTTTATACCGGTTTTGGCTTCTTAGCTGTTGTGTTTTCTAACACCATAAGCCAGACAATCAGTTTATTCAGTAGTGTCATAGTATACTAAAGGTCCTATTAAAATTCAGTGTAGTGATTCTGATGATGGGCTTATGCTGTCTGTACACTACTCCCAAGCCTACAATGAAGACAGAAGATTTTCCAAGCAGAGCCCGCAGGGAAGCTGCATCCACAGTGAGATGGATAAAGACTATGTATAAAGAAGCTTTTCAAGTGAAAATAATTGAGTTTGATTATTTAACCAAAAAGCAAATCTTTACCACATGCCAATATGCACACAGAGAAGGTAGCATGAAGAGAAAGTGGATTAATAATTTGATTATTGCTGGACCTGATTGAGGCGCTATTGCATCTGCGTTTTTTGTTTGTTTTTTGTTTTTTGCTTTTTTTTTTTTTTTTTTTTTTTTTTTTTGGAGGTTGTGCACTGACCTAACACTGAATTACATTAGAGAGAATATGAAACAAGCAAATATGAAGAAAAGTGGATGTAATAAAGAAGGTTTTGAACGTAAAGTCAGTAGACATAAGGAGCTGATAAGAGCACGTAGAGGAGATTCCTTAGAAAAAAAACTTAAGCTACACATGTAAAGCAACAGTTGTTACCACAGCCATCTTCTGTGCAACTAAGACCTTAACAGAAAAAAGAGTTTTGGTCTCTGAGCCAAAAGTAGATGTAAGAGCAAGTAGCACTCTGTCAGCTGCATGAGCAATTTTGAAAGATGTTTGAGTAGGATGAACACTAACCGACAATTTTGCAGGATGCACTAAAATTCCTTAAATTTGGTGTCACAGTTACAGGATGTAATTCTGTGACACGAGCATTCTGTAGTGACTGGCCTTGTGCCTTCACCTGCCTGCATAGGTGGTGTCCCTACCTTCAGTCCACCCTGCCCACAGCAAAGGCTTACCCAGTTCATCTGAGCTCTGTTTGGATCTGAGAACTTTTCACTGGGTGCTTCTTTTGGAGTTTTGCTCCCCATCTAGACTAGAGAGCAACCATGGTGCTTGATGTGACATTGTTTCTGGGCCTTCTATTACCTACGGGCAGGGCCAGGCTGAGAACAGAACAGCTCCCGTCAGGCTCCTGCTCCACTAAAGGCCAGCTTAGAATAGAAGCTAATACCTGGTCAAGTGTCAACCCAGTGTGAAAGTGGAGTACAAGCAGGATGTGAGCTTGGATGTGAGCAAATGCTTCTGCATCCTAGGCAGGGATGCAAGAATGACATAACAGTCCTTGCAACATAACAGAAATTTTTGCTCCAGCTCTTAAACCACAGAGAAAGAACCTGCCCTTGTCCACATGGAAATCTACTTCACAGAAAAGCAGCCTGGCTGCTGGTGGCACTGCTAGGTCTCTCATTTCTTCAAGTATCTTCTAATGTCCTCACTTCTCAATCGGAACCTTGCTTTTCTCTTGAGAGAAGATTTTTTTTCAGCACTCTCATATTTACAGATTTTTAATCCACCATCTCCTCCTTTCCAGGCTCAGTGTAGATTTATAGGTTGGCTATAGAAGAGGCAAAATCCTCAAAACCAGAGCCAGACACACAAGAGCCAGCTGGCAGAAGGAAAGGGCAGAGTGCTGATCTCCACCTGCGTTTCCGCATCCAAGTTCCTAGAGAAACCCTGACAGCTTGGGTAGATACAGCCTTGGTAATGACCAGGAGGTTCTGAATTCACCATGTGCAGCCAACCTTGATGCAAGTGCCTGCAGAAGTTCATCTCTCTGCAGGGGTGTCTTAATTTTAGCTAGTGGAATTGCTTTCTTCAGAGTGTCTGGTATGATGCTACGCTTTGGTCCTAGAAGAAAAACAATGCTGATAACACACCAATGTTTATAGTTGTTGCTAAGCAGTGTTGCCTTACAAATTGTGAATAGCCAAGGCTATTCACAGCAAAGGGCTCAAGGAGCTGGGAGGGAACAGAATTAGGACACCTGAGTGAAAATGGCAAAAGGGATATTCCATACCATATAACATCATGTGGAAGGAGTTTTGAAGGGGATGGGAGTTAATCTGGCATCCTTCCGCTTGCTGGGGGGCTAGGTAGACATCAGTCAGTGGGTGCATCAGTCAGTTGCTTATGCATCACTGGTTATATACAGTCATATGTATAGAGAGAGTCATAACTATTATCCTTTTCCTTTTCTCTATTTAAGTAAATAGTTTTATTTCAGCCCACAAATTCTACTTTTTTTTTTTTTTCCCTAATCTCTCCCCCATCCCACTGAAAAGTGGGTGGAAGTGAGTGAAAGACTGTGTGGCGATCAGCTACCTGCCAGATGAAACCACAGCAAAGGCTGTCAGCTGCAGCAGTGCTGCTGCTCTAGGGAACAGTCTGACCCCATACTGTGGGGTTTTTGTTTTCTTTTTTTCCCACTACATATGGCTACACAAGGCAGCAACAGACAGAAGAGCCGCACCCACATCTCCTCCCTGTACCACTCAGACCAACTTGACACATTTCCTTAGGCCACAACCATCTCATGGGACAAGGTGGGGGGGGGCGGTCTCAGTCTACAGAAGAGCCCACCAACAGTGGTTCTGGACCTACTCCTACCACTAACTTGAATCTGACATCTGTTTTTATCAAGCAGGAATGGAAGAAGTTGCTTCAGACATAAAGGCCCTTCATTCTTACACAAGGAGAGATCCATCAGTTTTTCTGCCAAGTTGCCAACAGAGTGCAAAGCTTGCATAAGAGCACCTATGCCAGGTCTTTTGTAAATCTTGGTGCTGGGGGGAGGCTGTAAATATTCAGAGAAAGAATTGACCTCACTGGGATACTAATCAAAAAATTACAGAATCACATAATCAATAAGCTTGAAAATGATCACTAAGATCATCTAGTCGAATCATCAATCCACCCACTCAAAAGTGCTGGTATCTTTACCTGAATTTATGTCTTTTTGGCTGCCATCAGTCATGATTGAAAGCCATGATTTAGCTGGCCTCATTTAGGTACCTGTTTTGGGGCCAGAAATGTTACATCCTTGAAGCAGCTACATATCTCCTTCCCATACCAGAGTTTTCCTTTAAAAATGATAATAATTTCCTTAGAAGATGGTAATGCATTTAGTGATAGAATATCATCAGACTCCTTAGTTCATTAGAAACCATACATGCTGCTAACATACAGACATTTTGCAGGACTGAATAACAGTAGTCAATTCACAGTTTTAGGCAAGGTCTGCTTTATTAGTATGAATTCCAATTCATCTTAATGAGTCAAATATGGTCTATAATTCATATTTAATATGGTCTATAATTCGTATTTTTTTCATTTATAGTAGTAGAACACAAATATTTCATTTCTTTGTCAATTCAGCTTATGAATGGAAAGTATGTTTGCCACAATTTACAGCATTCTACAGAAAGAACTGCCTTCAGACATGAACAGATGATACTGTGTTGTTTGTTTTTCTTTAAGTTGCAAAACCAATGTAACAGAGTATTTGCTTGCGAGCACAGAGTAAATAACTACATGTGTTGCAACATAACCATTCTGATTTGCAAGGATTTCATGCTTATTAAACAGCATCCATGACATCTGGGAAATTTTTCTTTAAGAATAAACAGCACACAATGTCCTGGAAGGTAAATGGCTCTTTTTTCCCCTAAAGCTTTCCAAATAAGCCAGTACAAGATCCTATGTTCCTTGGGAGTGAACTGCAAAACACTGCCTTTCTGATCCTTTTTTGGAGGTACCTTCCTACTCTCTCTGTGGAACTACCAATAGGGAGAGATGGTGGGTTCACTTATGTCAGATTACTGAGGCGAACAGGAGCTCAGAGGATAGTTACTCCTCCACATAGAAATGCTTCATTCCACGTGGCTCATACTCAGGCTATATTTGCGTTTCTTCGCTATACCTGTACCTACTCAAATGTCAATCTCAGGTTACTGCCCAGTTCACTTCTGCCTCTTATTTTAGCTGTTGCAATGCAATACTTCCTCCTTAAGCACAGAAAAAAAAAAAAAAAAAAAAAAAAAAAAAAAAAAAAAAATCTTTTTTTTTTGCCAGTTAAAGGTTTTAAATGAAAATCCTGAAATCAAGCTTTTAGCTTAAAAAGGCTACTCCTGTTCCAGGACTTCAAGTGTTTTTAACTCCAGAAAAAAAAAAAAAAAGAATGACACAGTGGCAATCAAATAGAATTGAGAACATGCAGAGAAAATGCTGCTGCAACAGGAGAAAAACAAAGACCTGGTTGGGTCTCTTGAAGAAAAATATTTACCTCAAATGTGCGCAGAACTTTAGCCAGTGCCCCAACTTCTTCTTTCAAAGAGAAAATCAAAGAAATCACACCATTTTTGTTTGAGGACTCTTCAATGTACATGGATTCCTGAAAGAAACAAGAAAGAAAATCATTAAATTCACCCCAGGAGTTGCTTTTGCTTTTCTCCACCGCTCTTTTGCACTGCATTAGCAACATAAGGAGAACATAAAGATCTTTTAAATAGGATTTAAGCAACTGTTGCTTCCAGGGGAAAGAGAACTGCTTTGGGGCTGCCCTTGTTTATGATGGTAGAGACACACAATATAGTCTTTCAAATTAATTCCCATGTGTGAGGAAGGTAGTAAAAAATGAAAACAGCCTCACTCCATTTCTGCCCTGCTTTACTTCTCAAGAGTATCAAGCTCAGAGGACACTGGAAATATTACTCTAGTTTGGTTTCAGCTACAGTGAAACACCTCCCGGCTTCCGTTTCATTAGTGCTCAGGATAAAACAGAGCAACACCGAGTTGCTTAACTTTTCTAATATCAGTGTAATTTGAAGTACAACCACCACAAACTTTTGAAACTCACAGGAAGACCTTACTTGTGTTTTTTAACTTTTGCTGGCCTTGGACGCATGATGTTAGGCTGGCATTTCAAAGATCACACCAGACATTTGTAACACACAGAGGTGCGATGTAACAAGTACTAGGTCAAAACCCAACTCAAGGTATCTATCCTTCCAATTTTTCTGTATTAGGATCTACATTTTCAGTCAGGTTCTGTCCTCATTATAGCTATTGCTAAATTTAACATACAAATCAGAGTATAAAGGGTTTCAGTTCCCTGCATTGTCCTTAAAAATAGCAAAGGCAGTATTTGTAGTAGACATTAATAACGAAATCCAGCTGCTTGGAAGCCATAAAGCTCTTGGTGGGACTACATGTCCTGAGGCAGCATTATAATGAATTATCTTCTTCTATAAAATACATAATTGCTGATTCTCTGGGCTGTCTTTTAAGCTGCTGCTAATGTAAGTATTCACTGCCAAAAAAACAACAACAGATCTCTCTACCTGGTTTCATTTCCAGAGTAATTTTGATATTAATAGATTTCTCTACACCATAAGATTGCCTTCATTCCAAAGAAGACTTCTTTCCAAGGCAAATATATTCTTATTGGTGACTAGCATGGATTTGCTGAGAATAAACACTTTAAGGCTGTTTTCACTCATTTTCCCAGTCTTGTAAATTAGTTTATGTTGGTGCTTAAGAATAAGGTACATTGCAGTAGGGACTGAGAACTAATTCTGCAAACATGATGACACTTATCAACTTCTTGCATATCTGCATCTGAATGTAGTTCACTGGGAGGTCTTAGTTCAAAAATTAGTGCATGTTTGAGTTTGTCCACAGAGGTAGAGGCTTTCAGTGCAAGCTGAAGGGAGATTAAAATGATTGATGTTGTAACTGGTACCCAGATTTTACCTATCTATCTATCTATCTATCTATCTATCTATATGTTCAGGCAACATACACTGGAACCAACATATAAATACAGGCACCCAAATCTATTGCTGAACTTTTTGTACTACATATACATATATTTTACTGTCTATTACAGTTCATCCATTCTCCGTTCTTATTCTAATTTCTTGACTTTTATCCTCATACAGAGACTAATTGTAGTTTTGGGTCAATTCTACTCTTTTACTTCTGTGATGATGATTGAAAGTTGAAAAAATTGTTTCATTGTCACTGAAATACTGCCTGTATGATATTCATGTGATCTATAGATGTTGTGTGGAAAAAAAAAATCAGCTCTAAGTCTCTTTTCCCAGGAAGTAAAATAAGAACAAGTTGACAAATAGGTGCATTTGTTTCTGGACCTAGCACTACCTCTTACAACAGTGATGTGTAGGTGCAAGGACAGTTTGCCTGAGTGCAGTACAAATCTAAGTTTTTCATTAACTACTTGCCACAGGCATTGACGTTGCCTTTCTAATACACGTGGCTGTACTGGAGGACAATAACACAGACCTGCCAGTCTTCTAATCCATTTCTGAGCTGGTTAAGTAAAGCTCTTCAGAGCAAATTCCACAACAGCTGAAGTTAAAGAAAGTTTTTCCTGCAGTTTGAGAGATAGTAAACTTTCACCTCTCTGTCTTAAGTTGCAGAGTCAGTAGATGTACTAAATAGTGGAGAAAAAAAAAGGAAAAGAAGATTTCAAAGAAAATAAGATTTCTCAGTCACTTCTGAAAATGGAACTAGTTTCCAAGCCACTTAGTATCCATTTTCTCATGGCATTTAGATGCTCAGCTCCCACAGATCTTGCCATGGCCAACCAATTAAACAACCTGGAGAAGTAACGTGGTGAACCGCTAGTAAATCTGGTGGGGAAATTCAACCTCAGCACACAAAGCAGTAGAAAACCACACTTCCTTGGCTCCTCTATCCCTAAGAACACTTCTGGAAAATGAAGCTTTTTTTGCACATCTGTTGAAGTTTTTCTTTGCCATCAGAGGCATTGTGCAGGACAAAATAACTAATAATCCTAATAAGTAGTTATGCTGTCCTCAACATCACTTGCTCCTGCAGTAACTACAGTGCCTGTAACAAAAAGTCATGAATTTCAGTATTTTCCTGAATTTTCCAAAACAAAGGTTTCAAAGTCAGCAAAGATTACAAAAGTGTTGTCAGAGTGCAGAAAGTTAACAAATAGCTCTGCCACAGGAGCACATAACTTCAGCTGCTTTACTTTAACAGTTTGCTTTCATTACTCAGGTTTAAGCTGCCGATCTTTTCTGCTGCATCTTCTATTTGACATATAGGCAAGGATCCCTGTCCATTCTCTGTCATTTCTCCTTCCTTTCCCCTTTTGTAATGTTTTCATTTTCATTCCCACTGCACGTCTGTGAGCACAACACCACCAGCTGCCAAAAAGGGTAACGGTGGCAACCAAAGACTGCAAAGCATGAGACATGCACCTTATTTCCTCCCACTGTGGGCATCTTGGAGAGCAGAGAACAAGATTTGCAAGCATATGGGCTTAGGGTTACAGTTAGGGTTAGGGTTGCAGTTAGGGTCAGGTTTACAGTTAGGATTAGGATTAGAGAGGGGCCCCACTGCTCACCTGGAAGGAGTCTCCATTCATCTTGCAGTGCTGTGCATCCATGGTGAAGAGGAGACAATGCTCACACAGAAACTGCAAGTAAAGCCTTCTGACCTTACCACAGTGGCCAGAACTCTGTGCAAAGGTATTTAAAGTGGAGCAAGCAAGGCAAACCCATTCTCTTCTCCAGCTCCCTCCCCTGGGTGCTGTGCCAAAGGGGCGTTCTCATTCCACACCCCCTACCCACCCACCCTGTCCTGGCATATGGACTAGCCAGCCCCCCCGGGTCCCAATAAGAGCACTCCAGCATATTATTTTTATCTGTGCACGCTGGAGATGAGCAACATGCATTGAATTAGCAGCTCTCCTCCTCCTGATTCAGCCACCACTTTCATTCCTGCACATCTGTGCTCTGTCTCTGGCTCAGTCTTCCTATGGCTGTGTGTGCTCAGCATCAGGTGGGCTGCCCATCAGGGATCACTCCACATGATCGGAGATCAGATGTTCTCCAGGAGTCTCTCACTGCATGCCAGACATGAGGCACGGCACACAGCAGTGTTTGTCTTTTAGCAGGGCATCCAAGAGGTCAGAGAGCAGGAGGCACAGCTCGTTACACCAGGCAATGAGATAACAGAGGCCAAACATAAAAGAAGCATGAGACAGAAGTCAGCCATGTAAATATTACTCTGGAATATGTGTCTGGACATGGAAAAGTGAAGAAGATAAAGGAAAAAAAATGGAGGATGCAAAAGAATTACCAAAGGTGTATGTGTCCTTGCATGAAATGTCAGCCATGGAGAGCTTCAAGGGTAAGAAGGAATTTGGAAAAGGTTTAGCACAAAGAGTTGATATAAATCAGCCCAGATTTGGTTTGGAAAGAGTCATCGAAGGGAATCACAGAATCATAAAATTGTAGGGATTGGAAAGGACCTCTGGAGATCATTGAGCTCAACTCTCTGATAAAACGTGTTCCCTACAGCAGGTAGATGTCCAAATGGATCTTCAATATCTCCACAGGAGTCTGTCTCTCTGGGCAGCTTGTTCCAATGTTCTCGCACCCTCACAGGAAAGAAGTTTTTCCGTGCATTTGTATGGAGCTACCTGTGTTCCAGGTTCTTCCCTTTGAGATAATGACTGAAAATTATAGATTGATACAAGATGACAGGCAGAATAAATGAACAAATCTAAACAACTGGTCAAGGTCTATTTTGCTATTTGGAAAGATGGAGTCCACACTAAGACAAGCTATGACAAGGCAGGTAATCTTGCTACATTTTTGTGATGAACATAGAAGAGATCTCCATTACTCTGTTCTATAGAACAGACGAATCAGCTCTTCATGATTGCTTCAGGCATGAGGGAATCCTTACTGCATGTACTAGAGTGAATTCAGAATGGTGAATTTTTGCATAGATGTGATGTGAATTATTTGTAAATAAGAAATCCAATAACTATCAAATCTGATCAGCATCACAGTAGGGATCCACTTGCAGGTATCCTAGTCCAAACCCATGTTCAGCACCATGACCAAAGGCTCAGAAACCAGCCCACTGAAGTCATAAAATCAAGTAATTGTTTGAGTTGAGAAGGACCATTAAAGGCCATCTCGTTCAATGAAGGCCCTCTGCAATGAACAGGGACACCCACAGCTAGATCAGGGTGCTCAGAGACCTTCCAGCCTGATTTTGATTGTCCCAGGGATGGGGCATCCACTACCTCTCCGGGCAACCTACTCCAGTGCCTTGCCATCTTTATCACAGAACACTTTTTCCTAATGCCCAATCTATATTATCTGCTGTATGATGTGGATCTGCAGTAACTCATTGCTTTGCGTGTGAATATATCCATTTTTCAGACAAGGGGAGATGGTCCAGTAGTAGAAAGGGAGGTTAGCCTTCCTAATTGCCAGCAGCATCAAACCTAATGTTTTTGAATTGTTCAGTCAATGAGTTCACTACAGGAGGCAGCATTCTCTGTCCTACGTTTGCGCAACACCTGACATGGCCTTGTTCATGACAGAGACATTGGAGGTCACCTTAAGGCAGTGAGATTAGGATGGCAATAGCATTGATTATAGTATTCCCTATGTAGGGCAGGACAGTTTCCATCAATTCATCTTATTTGCTCCTTGCTTTTCCCACAGGCCATGATTCTCTATGTGGTATATTTTTCAATTAGATTTCTAAAAACTAACATGTGTGTCTTACAGCTGGCGAAAATGTCTGTGCCATCCACAGCCATAAACCACATCTTCTGTCATTTATTTTTGCCTTCCTTTTTCTCTCTTTATTTCTTTCTCTTTTCACAAACCTTTGATCATCCCTTTTTTTTTTCCTTTTCTGTGGATTTTATGTCCATTTACTTTTCTTCCTTTCTCCCATCCTTCCCCTTTTCTTGTGTTTTAGACTTTCTGCTCACTCTACCTTGACAGTAATTGCAAGGCAAAGTGAAACACTGAGTATGCAAAGTACTGTGCATACCAAATCTTTGCAATTTGCTGGTTTTGACTCTTACCATTCTCTCTTTTTTTCTATTTATATTGCAAGTTTCTAATTTATTGATAGTAAGCATAATAACCTCACCAGTGCATTGCCATCAGTTCTCTGTTTAATCAGTGAGAAACTCCACAAGCTGCCTAGTAGCACAAAGCACTGGGACTGCAGGAAGCAAAGCTTTTTGCCAGAAGGAATTCCCAAATTCTCTTGTTCTGGAGCAAAGGTGTATGTTTGTGTGTGCATGCAGGCTGATATTTGCTCCACAGATCAAGCCAATGTCATTGCAGTGTGAACACAAGATTGCATCAGGCCTGGTTACCTTGGACAGTTTCAGAATCCAAATTACCTGAGCTGCCTTTGAAGCCCTGATTCAGTGTACCAAGCACAGGTCCTTTGCCCCACAGTGACATTGCTAGCCAGGATTTGCCATTTTATTGCCTCCACCTAAATTCCCCATGTATCCCTTCAAAATACCCCTGTTCCTGGCACAAGCACACTACACGCACATCTATTTATGGCCATGCTGCTCAGCCACAACTGAAAGGGCTCTTTGCACAGAAAGTTGGCTGCTTTCACTGGCCAGCACAAAACAAGTTCAAAGCACCATGGACTTTGGCTACTTTTCAAAGTACTCTCTCCCCTCTCTGCCTTTAGTCAGCGTTTGAGAGCAGTGACTTTCCCAAGCCCAGTGACTTCCCTCAAGTGTTCTGTGGTTTGGGCAGGGATGTCCCTTCCTGTGGGTGGATACCTGAATCCCTGGTTCAGGTGTCCTGCTCAATCTGAGGGAGCATCAAGCAGAGAGAGGCATTCCTAGAAGTTCCTGAACAAATCCCAAAGGAAGATTCAATGTGGATGCACGCAACTAAGGCAGGGGGTGTCCTTTAGTGAGGGCCCCTCACTATAAGAAAATACTGAGGCCCTGGATTGTATGTAGAGAAGGGCAACAGAGATGTGAGGGGTCCGGAGCATAAGTGTTATGGAGAGCAGCTGAGGGAACTGGGGTTGTTCAGTCTGGAGAAGAGGAGGCTCAGGGGAGACCTTATTGTTCTCTACTACTACCTGAAAGGAGGTTGTGGGGAAGTGAGGGTTGGCCTCTTCTCCCAGGTAACAGTGATAGGATGTAAGGCAATGGCTTTAAGTTGCACCAGGGGAGGTTGAGGTTGGATATTAGGAAACATTTCCTCTCTGAAAAAGTGGTGCTGCAGGCACAGGCTGCCCAGGGAGGTGGTGGAGTCACCATTCCTGGAGGTGTTCCAGAATCGTGTGGATGTGGCACTGAGGGACGTGGTCAGTGGGCATGGTGGGGATGGGCAGACAGCTGGACTTGATCTGGGAGGTCTTTTCCAGTCTTAATAATTCCATGATTCTATGGTTTATAGATGTTATACGTGCACTTAGCTAGTTTCCCATGGTGCTGTGGTTCTCCTTTAGACATCAGCCAGACCGAATTTCCTCCCACACCATGGTCACCAAACCTCCAGCCACATTTCTCTCTCCTTGCAGAGCCAGGCTCTTCCCACCCCTGCAGCCCGCTGCTAAGTGCTTCGGACAGCATCCCGGTCCCCTCTCGTGGGTGGCCGGGAGGTGGCACTGTGTCCCCACGGCAGTGGCCGCCGAAGACGGGGGTCAGGAAGCCGCAGTAGCCCCGTATCCCCGAGGAGAGTGTCGCCTCTCAGACAGCAGCACTTACGGCCAGAACCCCCCCCCTCCTACCACCTCAGAGCGGAGGCTCCAGAAAACATCCACCCTCCCACCCACCCCCCTTTCCTTTCTTTCCTCCATCCCCAATTTTGCTATCCAAAAAGTGGGCAGGCGGGGGCAGCGCGGCTGATTTATCCTCGGCCGTGATGGACGCGGGACGCGTGGCCGCACAATGGGGCAACGGAGGGCGAGGGGGTGCGAGGCCGGGGCGCCAGTGCCCGGCGGGATCCACGGGAGCGGCTGAGGGAAACCGGGGATGGGAACGGTGTGGGACTGGGGAGGCTGTGGCCACTGCTGCTTTTTTCCTTTTCCTTCCTTTCCTTCCTTCCCTTCCTTCCCTTCCTTCCCTTCCTTCCCTTCCTTCCCTTCCTTCCCTTCCTCCCTTCCTTCCCTTCCTTCCCTTCCTCCCTTCCTCCCTTCCTCCCTTCCTCCCTTCCTCCCTTCCTCCCTTCCTCCCTTCCTCCCTTCCTCCCTTCCTCCCTTCCTCCCTTCCTCCCTTCCTCCCTTCCTCCCTTC